AACCACCCAGAAACTCTCTCTCAAGGTGCCTCAAGCCCTGCACTAGACTCTTCAATGTCAATATTCAAGCTAAGAACCATCTTGCACTCACTTTACCTTCTCCCTTGATGCTGCCTGCTATCCTTCAGCTATCCATTTACCTCCTTAAGCCCAACAGCTCCAATACAATTACATTCTTCAAGTCCCTGGAAGTTGATCCCAGGATGTGAAGATTCACTGAAGCAGAGGTGTCACTCACCTCCTGCCTTGGACTGGATCTGGACTGCAGGGCTCCTGCTCCCAGCACATGCTGCTGTGTCCCCTATGCTGAAGCAGGAGCTGCTGGTGCCAACCTGTGTTTCATGCCAAGATGGCAGCTCTGTCTCTGGAGCAGAGCCCATGGCAGCAACAGCTCCGGCTCTGAGCCTGGCACAGGGCACATGGCAGTGCCAGCTGGAGGGTGACCAAGAGTCTCATCCCTCACTCACTCTCCTGCTACCACCAGGGACCAAGGGCCTTAGATTTTATGGGAGTCCACGCCCCTTGCCAGGTGCCACAACTTGGTGTGGTCCATCGGTAGCTCGACAGGCTGGGTAACAGCAGCTGTGCAAGCTGGATCCAGCCTCCTGCACTAAAGAAAGAAGTGACAGTCCCATTCCCCACGGCTTCCCATAACCCCAGAAAAAAAATACAGCAAAGCCAGAAAGAAAAAGTCTGAGAGGATGATCTTCTGTCCTCACTCGCCCTGACATCACCCTCTCTGTTTTTCTCTGCATTTTGCCAAAAGGTCCCAACAGGGAGGCAATGCCACTGCTTTGTGCTGGAACATTAATACAGTCTCTCAGCTAAAGGGGGTTGCTACAAAATTTCAGAGCACTGGCTCTTCCCAGAGACAGCGCATACTACTCGCTACCCCCCCAGATGGAAAGAACAGAGCTCGAGAGTCTCCATCCTGTCCCTATTAGCCCACGTTGTTTATGCTCACAGTCTTCCGTCTATCTTTAGATCACTGTTTCTTTTCATGCTGCAAGCCAACTAAAGGCCTGGGATGTACACACGCTTACAGCTCCCCTTAACTCATTGCAAACATCACATTCCAGAACATGCTGACATGCCGCAGCACGAGAGGCATTAGCTAACTTCAATCACCTATCCTCTCAACTGAGAAAGTAGCAAGTGATGTGTAACCTGTGTCATGTCCTCCACGCTAATTCCATTTGGCAGTCAGAGAGCAGGATCTAATTGGGTCTCTGGGACCCCAGCACACGTGAGTGGCAGGAGGTGTGATTCTATGATTGGGGATCAAATCCCAATCGCATCCTTTCTACTTACCACCCTGGGATCACTGCATCAGCAAGGTGAAAGTTGAGCGTCCACAGGTCCAGGGCCAGGGCTGACAATCAGCTTCAATTTAATGTGCTATACAAGCCAGTCATAAAAACGTTCTACATTGTATGAGGACTGCTTTTATGGCTGGTTTGCCATTTTATGGCATGTTAAATTGAGTGCAAATGTAGCACCCTTACCATTTCTCCCACGATTAACATGTTAACACCTGACATTTAGTCTTCAGATGTGCCGCTCCCATTCTCTACGTTTCAAGGGGGACAAAAGCACAAATACACACGCATTGATCTGATCTTTGTGGCTTCTCACAGGCAATTGTAAGGTTTTAAAGTTCACAGGTTGAGAAGAACATATTACCTGGTTCAGTACTGACCTGGAGCCATCACAATTAACTCTCCCTCTGACCACTTTCCTAGGCCAGGAGTGAAGGGACGGGAGGGGAATGCATGCTCTACGTGAGAAAATCCAGCATTAGATGGTGCATTCGCCCTTAAGCCTGCTTCACCTCTTATATAAGTTGCACCCGACACCCCCAGCAGAGCATGGGCCAGGATGTTATTATATTGAGCATGAAGCTAACTCATACACCTTTTGCTACCTGAAAAAGCAAGGTAGTAGTTAGACACATGCTACCATAGTCCCTCAACCTACTGGAGAAAGTCAGTGCATAGTGAAAGTCAGGTGACTGTTTAAAACACTTGCTAAGTACCCAGATCCTATATTCTCTCTCTATATCATTATAAACCCACTACTACCTTGCTTAGAGCACTTCACATCTTTAGATCGCAACAAGCTTTTCACAGCTCTATATCACTAGCCCCCCCACTTTAAAGAGGCGGAAACTGTGTTTAGGCTTTGAGAATTTTAGTAAGGACCCTAATATCTTCCACCTTTCTAACCGAACATCCAATTTGGAGGCAGCACAACAAAGACAAGGCTTTTTTTCTTTAAAAAAGGGTCTCTCCTGAAGAACAGCTGGCAGGTCACTTCCTGGATTTTGCTGCCTTTTATCAACAAAATGCCACTGGAAGCCAGGGAGCAGATTACAATCATGTACTGTTTCTAGGGACACCTGCCTTCTCATCTGCAAAAACAGAATTCGAATCATGTTTAAAGTCTCACATGTATCACTGTTTGATCCAATTAAAGAGGAAAGCCCCTGAGAATGAACTTGATAAGGCTGTTATGCTATATAGACTCAGCACCCTGTAGGCTGACCTTTGGAAGCAGAGGCGCTGAAGAAGCCAAGCCAGATTCTCTCTCACTCCATCTTCCAGAGGGCAATTCATTTAGAAAACAAAAGCCCAGAGGATTTGAGAAGGAAGGTCAGGCATTTGCCATTCATATAGGGAACATTTTGCAAATTACTTCCTCATCCTCCAAGAACTGTTTGCTGTTTATTATGTTGAAGCAAGAGATTTTTAAGGCAAGGGGGACAGACCACATGAAAGCACAGGAGATCAGTTGCGCTAAAATAAAGTTTATAAGAACACGCTCCCTCACACGTGCATGTGGAGAAAGCTGTGCAACGCTCGTCTTCAGAGCTGTGCAACGCTGCATTTAAAAATCTTGGAAACAGCTTTGTGAAGACAAGTAGTTACGTTTCCAGCAGTAGATCCAGGTTTTGCACATTTTGCTGCTTCTTCTTAAATAAAGTACCTGAATGCGCCTATTTACATATATCCCCTTTACCCTGCAACACGAACATCTACTACTACACTAACGACACTTAAAGTCTGTTCCCCCTCAAAGCCTTACCCCCCAAACAAATTACACATTACATTTAAAGGAGATTATCAGTGTTAAGTGGAAAACCCAACAGTTACTAAGACAGCAAGACAAGGCACTCAAATAGCAGAGGTAAATTCATAGCACCCTTGCTTTTTTGCAACATTTCTGTCCTATACACTTCCTTACAACAAATGCTGCAGTATGGGTGACATCTGAACATCAGTAATCTTGGTGATTTAGGACACAGAGGTCTCCCCATGTTGAGTTGCTGACTCTGAACTACATCTATGCATCCTTTCACAGCATCCGATGAAGTGAGCTTTCTCTAACCAAAGCATGTATTTAGACACACACTTTAGTTAGCCTATAAAGTGCAAACCTGCCCTGCCTCCTACAGCACAGAGCTCAAGAGCAGAAGCCAAACCCAAAGCCAGGAAGGTTGTGTCCAGACAAGTGCAGACAAGCACAGTTTGTTCCCCTGGGGACAAGCAGCCAGGACACATCTCGTGCTGCTGCTACTTGTCCCTGGGGAACACCTGTGCCACACGAGCTCTGCCGTGCAGCAGGTTACCCCAGGTGGGATAGGGGAGCCTGGCTGGCAACCAGAGCACAGTCAGACCCCAGTTTTGGGAAGTGCATGCTGCCGCCATGTGTGCCACCCTGCTTTTTTTTGGCATGGCTTTTTTTTTGACCCCGGAACCTCTTGGGGTCAAACCCCCACTGCTCAGTGCAGGGAAGGCCTGCACGTGCGATGTGTGGCACTGCAGATGGGCCTGTAGTGCTACATACTGTACATCTGCACTCGTCTGGACGCGGCCTTTGAGGTTGACAACAGCACGCTGCTCTGCTCTTAGGGAAGCCCCTTTTAGATCCCACTCATTGGTCCCCTTTGAGCCAATTCCATTCAAATCAAAGGACCAAAAGACAAGGAAGTTACAGCGCTGTCCTGGGCTGGAAAGGAAAAACACCCTGCATTTTGTGGCTGGTTCTTGAATACGGTTCCTACGGTGAAACACGACTTACAATTAACATTCCTCTGCCAGATCAAGGTCAGGCTCTGATTAGAAAAGTGGGCTGAAGGAAGCAGCAGACTCCCGTGTCCCTGAACTAACCCGGTCTCCCCTACTGCGCCGCCCGTCCTCCCTCCTCGCCACCCTGCGCTCCCCCGCTCCAGCCTGGCTGGGGGAGCTCCGCCAGCCGCCCTCGGGCAAGCGCTGAAACGTTTTCAGCAGCGAAATCCCAGACAGGTGCCCTGAGAAAGGAGTTTCAAGGGGGCCCTGGGGGAGGCACGTGCCTCTGATCTGGGGCAGACGCGACAGGGGGTTTCTGCGGTCTGAGCATGTTTACATGGGAGCATGAAACTGGTGCAGACTCCAGGACAGTGACACCACAGGGTCCTTGCTCCAGATTAAGGGGCATTTACATGACATCCTGAAACTGAGAGGTCTCTGGGACTGTGACACCCAACGGGGCTCTGCTCCGGATCAAGGGGGCATTTACACGGGAGGCATAAAACAGAAGAGGACTCCAGGGGAGCAACCCCAAAGGCTCCCTGCTCTGGACGGGGAGGGTGTTTACATAGGGGTGCACGCACCTACCACGGCCCCCAGGCAAGCGCAGTGAAAGGTCCCTACTCCGGATTAAGGGCCGATCCCAGGGGAGCCCAGAACAGAGCAGGACTCGAGCGAAACCTGGCTCCAGGCTGCGGGGTGTTCACACAGGAGCAGGAAACAAGAACTCAACCGGGGCCCTACTCCGGATTGGGGGGGCGGGGCATTTACACGGGACTCTGGCAACCCAACAGCCCCTGCTCCGGATTCAGGGACGTTCACACCACAACACACACACCTCTGCTCCGGATTAAGGGGCCTCCACCTGAAGCCGCCCCGCCCCCTGTGGCCCCGCTCCGGATCAAGGAGCGTTCACACGGGCCGTGCACTTACTCCGTGATGCGCCGCGCCAGCTCGGTGCCGGCGGCCGTGGAGTTGGCGGAGAAGACGCGGTACCCGCTCCTAGCCGCGTTCATGGCCCCGAGGGGGCGGGGGGGCGCGGGGCGGCGCGTCGGCAGCAGCAGCCTCCTGGGCATCGTC